CAAACCCTGTCGGCTTGTTCTGCAGAGTGCAAGTGTCAGTTTCGCCCGTAACGTAACTCCGGTCAATGGCAAAGGTCCTACTTTGCCGCGTTTGATTTTCGATCTGGAGGTCTTCTTCTTTTTCTTCTTTGACTCTACCATATTAACAGGGATAGACTCTGGTTCCTGCTGAATACCGTTTGCTTCTGATGTGGATGGTGTCATTTCAATTGGCTTGCTTGTCTGATGTCCCGGAGAAGTAGCCATGTTTGGCTGCTCAGTTTCTGGGTCGTTGTGTTGTTCCAGAGGTCGAAGACGGAGCTGGTGAGAAGTGTTCGAGGGGATTTCTGGAGACTCCATTGCCATGAGAGGTCTGGATGAGATCGTCTGATAACGAGATAGAAGGGACGATTAGATCAAGCTGAGAGGTGGAAGGAAGATAGATGACGGGGATGGGAAGTAGACACTGAACAAGAGAGAGAGGGGGGAGGATTCAATTCACTGATACGTGGTAGTGAGAAGGAAAGGAAAGCAATGCCTCCAACAGCCCAACTACTTCTCAGTCTGTTTGACTAATGCAATTCACCGACAAACAGAGCACACCTCCAGCTTCTTCATTGTTCGACTGTGGTGCCTGGAGCAGCCTTCCGAGGATAATGTGTAAGTCATCTAACAGGTTCAAGCTACAATAACTGAGATAATTCAGTCCATGATCTTACAATGATCAATATGGAAAGCCAAGCAAGTGAAAATATCAAAAGAGGCAGATGTGATACCATCCAGAAGATCCAACCACATCCGCCCCGTCAGATGTGTTTCATTCCCTTGTCAGACTAGCAATTATTCCAGTCAAATTAGACGACTGAAAGGCGCAGGTTGTAGGTTTTGAAATTCTTAGCCATGGAATTTAGTTCTATAACACCCCCTCCTCTCCCTTATTGAATGGGCGACATAAAGTGGATCTTATTCTTGTTTCTTTTCACCTACCATATTAATGGTAGTAACAGCCCCATTGAGATCTTAACTGACTATACCTGGCGCCTCTGAAACCTTGTTAGGTTTTTCTGAGGCTTTATTAGACTGTAGTATTTGTGGTTGAGCTTAATTAAGGACCAGCTCGGGGACTGGATAGTTCGAGTGGTAACATTATCACCTTGATCGTCCACGACGGTAATATGTGCTAGAAAGACGACAAGGCCAGTTAGAGAGGCTTTAGGGTTGGCATGAGAAGCCTAACCATTCCATCTTAGATGTATATTCCATTACAAGCTGATATCACTGACGTTTACAGAGGCAGCATACCCTTGTAAATATAAGAGTTGCAAGAACAATGCCTCCATAATTAGAAGCACACTCTATTCTTTTCCTGATAAGGCTATATATACCCACGACATCTAGTATAACGACAAAGAGCGAGTTAGGATTCAAGTCTTGTGTATATTGAATTCCTCGATGGGCCAGGAAAACGCTTCGCCTCAACCAAAAGCGGCAGATATGATGCCATCCCAAGAACAAGCAGTCCTCGGCCCGCGTTGAGCCGGCAATCACAGCCGCCGATCACTTCTTGTCAAAACTGACCGTTGTTCGAACCAAGACACTAAAGCGACAACGACTCCATCAGACTAATAAAGCGGTATTATTTTGAATAATCCCTTAGGCATTTATTTCCGACCCCCTTGTGCCAGTCATGCCGATCATGATTGCATTTCAACCGTAGACGGAAGTACAACTTGCCTTGTCTCTCCTTTTCTTCGCTCCTTAACTCTCCATCTCTTTGACTACACTCTACCTACGACTTCATTTCTTTCACCTTTGACTACTTCTCATATCCCTATCGCGGCCTCGAAATACCTCCTGTCAACGCATTTCCGGAAAGAGCAATGAATGAGATTTCGCGGCGCTCCGTTATGCAATAATTCATGATTATTCTCTCTCGCGGACAACATGCCATCGTCTTCAAGGTCCGATAGTTTGAAAACAGCCAAACTCGACACTGACAGCTTTGTCGACTTCGATCACGCCGCTGCTGGACAGTAAGTATCCATCCGCTCTCGGCTCACCTTCCTTGCCCACGTCAGCATATCTCAGCCTCTCTAGCGGCTGAATTATCCTGCATTGAGCATCCAATCATTGTCAGCGCAGTGCGCTTTGTGCGCCTATACAGGGTCGCATGACTGGTCTAACATCTTTCTCTACAGTGACGGCGTGCGTTGCACTCCCTCCGGTTCCTTCATCGCGAAACCTTGCACTCCCCAAGAAGTTGCATTCTACGAATCTAGCGCCCTTCACCCCGCCTTTCGAGACTTCATTCCCACTTACATCGGAACCTTATCGTCTGCCGACCAGCAAGGCCCCTTAGCGCTCACTGCTGCTGCTCAGCAGAGTGGAGCTATTGTTCTACCCACCGCGGACGACTCATCTTCATCCGCCACGCCAACCACCGCGGAGGCTCCGCAGTTTGGTTTGCATGCGGGATTAGGCTCGAACGGCGCAACTGAGAACAAACCATGGGTTCCCTCTGGCGGAAAAAAGCTTGAAACGGGGCTGTCCATAGTCCTGGAGAATATCGCGTCTGGATTCAAACGCCCAAATGTCCTGGATGTGAAACTTGGCGCGCGACTTTGGGCTGATGACGCGCCTCCCGCTAAGCGGGCCAAGCTGGAGGCTGTGGCCAAGGAGACTACCAGCGGTAGTCTTGGGTTTCGTATTGCCGGGATGAAGATTTGGACCGGCGCTCATGGGGAGACGGACGAGGGCAGCAAGACCAATCCATACGCCACCAAGCATGAGGGAGTCGAGGGTGCCAGGGGTGAAGTCGTTGAAAAGGACGGCTACAAACGCTACGACAAGTGGTATGGACGGTCTTTTAATGAGAAGAATGTGAAAGAAGGCTTTGAGACGTTCCTCGCCGGCGCAAAGGCTGGCCCTGTTGATCGGTCCAAACTAATCGCCAAGAGACTTGCTGACGAGCTGAGGCGTGTGCAGTCGATCCTGGAGTCGGAAGAGAGCAGGATGTATTCGTCTAGTGTTCTCATTGTCTACGAAGGTGACCCAGAGGCGATGGAACAAGCACTAGAAGAAGAAAAGAAACCCAGGGACAGATCACCGGAAGAGGCCGATGAAGAGGACGAGGAGTTTGATTTTGCTCTGCAGGAAGATGGCTCCTTCGAAGTTGTCAACCTGCAGGTTGGACAAGAGGGAATACCGCAGCAGGCAATCAATATCAACCTCGGTCCAGAAACGGCACAATTAGGAGAAATAGACTTTGAAGACGAGGAGGAAGAGGATGAACCTCCCAAGGTGCACGACCTCCGCTTGATTGACTTTGCGCACGCCAGTTGGACGCCCGGTCAGGGTCCGGACGAAAACGTCCTCATGGGAGTCCGGAGCTTGATCAGACTACTCGATGAGCTTGCTATGGAATAAGCACATCAGATAAAATTCAGGAATAGGGGATCTTTACATCCAACAGTCGCTGGCGGCTTCTGGATCGGAAGATATTCAAGCTATTGGCTCTGTTTAATGCTACCAATATACGATGATAGCTTGCTTGGGAAAGAGACATATAACAGCTAGCAATCACGGTAAATGGCTATTAATAGATAAAAAAGAATAATAGCTACATTTTCTCAAGTTCAGACCTATCCGTAGTATTTTTATGGTATCTTGAGCATCCAAGTATATTCGCTTACATAATCAACCATCCGAAAAGCATCGATTTGCGACTCTCAGCTTGCGGAGTCTCGGACTTGTTGAGCAGCGTGTATCGACAAGATGTTTCCCACTCGTGCTCTGCTGGGGCGATCCGTATGGAAAGGTAAGTCTTCCAGGATTGTCCCTATTTAATTCATATGTCTCGAACGAAGGGAAAATGGCTAATCCCGCTACCATCACCGCAGGCCCGAACATTGTGCCGTACGCTATCTCCATACCCTAGCTTGGATATGATTGTCTTAGAATCGCAGAGACAGTTCCAAATGAGTTCGATTGCTGCTATTGTACTAGCTGACTCTCAAATTTTCTGGACAGTCTCCCTCTCCCGCGAAAACTCCCACCTCCTCCCGGCACACCCCCGATCAAGACACAGAAGCGCGGAGCCACAATCCTGCCTAATTTCGTCGGTTTGCGGTTCGCAGTGCACAATGGGAAGACGTACCAGGATGTTTTGATCACGGAGGATATGGTGGGGAGGAAGCTGGGCGAATATGTTCCGTATGTTTGATGCCCGTTCATTGAGAGATGTCCCGACAGTCGGGATGAGAAGCAGAAGCAGACGCAGAAGCTGACGGTTGGCATTGACAGTACCCGCAAGCGGTTCACGTACAAGCAGTCCAAGAACAAATAAGTGATTCTGGTGGGGGTATGGGGATACCGTTCGATGGTTCTTGTGGCTGCTTTTTCGAGAGCTGGCGCTTACGGCGAGCAGCATTATGGGATGGGATCGTCATTGGTACTGCTACGGCGGTTGTTCCAAATGACCAAGACAGGGAATCTCTACTGCGAGGGTAACAGATCTCGCTCTCCTGCGGTAGCGGTATCGTCTCCCTGTCGAGGCTCTTCCGTCTTCTACTGGCGGGAAGTGTACTTCTACACATATCTGTGTTGTAAAAATAGCGGTTACTGTGTCGGAGTTATATAGGTTTTGCGAAAGTCAATATTTTCATTTTATTCTGGATATCAGAGTTGTATACTTGTTGCGGTGGACACTGATGAATATGTGTGTCCCATTCAGCCTTCCAAAAACGCCTGCGAACAAAGTTCAGAAAAGGAAAAATTCTTTTCGAAATATAAGCAACCCCCAATGCAGGGTATCCGTCGTCCTCGACCCGATATGTACGCCAAATGAAATTGAAAAATCTGCCTTCCCAGAGAAAGCCACCATAAACCCTCTCGCCAAGACTGCGTAGCAATATAACGTCAAAATCTCTCGTAAGTCATCCAAATCTTGTGGATAACATCCGGTTGCATACTGGCTGTATTGACCAGCACAGATGTGTTCCGTCACCAGGACCCAGCCTTCTCTACCGGTAAAACTCCCCTCTCTTGACGCTGACACCATACTCTGCAACAGCCATGCCCAAGTCTTCCATGGTGAGCACCGTCCGACCTTGCCCAGAGCCACCGGAGCCACCACCGCCAAAACCAGGACGCTGAATGCCCAGATGTGTGTTCGCTTTGCCTTTGCCTGCGTCGCCGCCACCAACGCCCGCTGCGCCGCCTGCTGCGCCGGCTCCAGCACCGCCGGGCATGTTCAGACCGGAGGCAGCGTTCAGACTGCCCATGGGGTTGCTGGCTGATGTACTGTTCGAGGCTCGGATACGGGCGTACTGATATGAGTCCGCCGCGATATCAGCAATGAATTTCTGTGTTGCGAGAGCGAGGAGTCGGGCGAGATGTGGGGGGGTTTGGTTCGGTCCGTTTCCTGGGGGTGGTAGGCCGGCGAGGGTGAGATAGTGAGCTGTTACCGCGTCTGGGATCTATACCTTGTTAGAATGCCTGAAGAGTGTACATCTTGCGATACGTTTTCAAAAGTAAGGCAAGAGGAAAATGATAAAAGAAGTAAGACCTACAATAGGCGCATAATCATCCATCTTGCCCAGAAACTCGCGCAAACTCGTCTCTTTCTTCGACGGCGCCACTGCCGCTGCTATAGCGTCGACAGATGTAGGCACTGCATCTTGGACAGGGTTCCCTATCGTATTATCTCCGTCGCTTGCGCCTGCAGCGTTGGTAATGCCACCGGTGTTCATATCGATATCCTGCTCGATGGAGGCGTCAAGGGCTTCGACATCCGTTGTATTTGGCTCCTGTTTCGGTACAACCGGGGGGTCAGAAGTACCCAATGACTCTCCTGGTACTGTTGCCTGTGTTGATGATGGTGGAAGCTCTTGTGAACCGATCTGGGATGAAGGTGGTGGTTGCGACGAAGGCGGCGCTGGAGGTTGTGATGGAGTTGTTGAATCGGCCATCGTGACAGATCACTTATTAGTGACTTGAGCAAGAGAGGCGGAAGTGAACGGACGGATAAAGTGAACCCCTGTTGGACGAATAGGAGAACTCGGGGGACAACGTTTCGCTGAGGTCTGTTCTTTTTAGGGTGTGTACAACGAATCGACATGTGTTGGTGATGCACAGGCGGAGATCTGTCCGTGTTCGGCCCGACGACAATTAGACTATGCGCTCTGCTACATGAGCTAGAAAAGCAACGAAGCAACGATTCGAGTTGATTTCATGATAATTTCATAAATAGGCTCAACTGAAAATGGTATTCATTATAAATACAGAATCATTTTACATATGTACGATTAGATGCCTGAATTCTACTCTTACAGACCAAACCAGACCCAAACCGTGGTATTACACAACGCAGCAAGCAGCATCTTGTACCAGAAGTCAAAAAGGACATATCGCCATTCAAATGGTAAAAACCACCGCGCCTTCAGGTCGGTCCTTGGGACAGGCCGGATAAAGAACCTTGTATGAAGAATGACCAGTTTACTGCCCCATGTGCATGTTGGGGTCGACATTACCTGGTTGATGTTGAGGTTGGCCAAATTGAGCCCCGTGGACTTCCTGGCCCAGTGTCTGCATCAGGTTCTGTTCCGCGGTTTGATCGAACGTAGAATGGCTGCCAGTATCCGGAAGGCCGGGAGAAGCAGACATTGCCTCGTGCCCGTGTCCCAGCGGAACGGGCTGCGAATGTGCGCCAGCGAGGGCCATCATGCCTTTGATACCTTCCACATGAGCCTTATCTTCTTCGCCTTGCTTCTTCTGCCTCTCCCGTGCTTCACGTTTAGCGGCCTGCGCAGGAGCGCGAGTCTTGAGTTCACCGGTAACGAACTTTAGGTAATAAGGAACTTCGATACCGCTCTTGAGGAAAAAGAGTTTCAGGTTGCGCGCCTTGTCTTTCAGCTGCACTTGATTCCGATCCTTCAGGGCTTCGCTGATAGTACCCCCGGGGCCGAACATCGCAAGGATTTGACTCCAGTGTGGCCCCTTTACACGATCCAGTCCAGCCATCAAAGCGTTTTCTTCTTCGGTAGTCCAGGGGCGGCGCTGGCTTGGTAGGCCGGATTTGCGACTGCTTGGAGAAGATTTCGCCGAAGCCGCCATGCGAGCGCGCTCATAGAGCACTTGAGTGGGTTGTGATTGTGAATAGTGAGGAATTCCAGGCATATAACCATGATTTGATTGACCACCGTTGGGTCTCCCTGGCATGGAGACGGGACCCCCAGGGTTATATTGTTGAAAGTTTGCTTGCAGAGGGCTTTGCTGGAATGTGAGCTGTCCGGGCTGCTGCTGATACCCCGGCGGGGTTGGACTATGCTGGTAGTGCTGCTGATGTGGGTTTTGCTGAGGTGGCAGCTGGCCTGTGGGCTGAGCAGCAGTATACCCATGAGGTGGCTGGCCTCCATGTTGAGAACTCTGCTGTGGCATTTGCTGTTGCTGTAGGTGGTGCTGAGGTTGCTGCTGAGCCTGCTGAATGTGGTTGTGATGCTGTTGCTGTTGCTGTTGCTGGGGTTGTCCTGGTTGCTGTGGCTGACTGGGCTGCTGCTGCTGCTGTTGCTGCTGCTGGGACTGCTGGGATTGCTGTTGTTGAGAACGTCTCAATCCGTGGCCCTGCAGGGCGATCTGGGCCGCACGTGCCGCACGGGCTACCAAGTCTCCATGCATATTCTTGTCAACCGGAACTTCAGGCGCTTGCGAAGCAACAGGGAATTGGCCTTGGAGGGGTGCACTGGGCGGATCCTGTGACTCGCCACTCGATGAAGATGGCTGCCTTCCCTTATTCAATTTCTTCGTCTGATCAGCATTAGCAAGGCAAGGATAGATAGGGGTCACAGAAAAACAAACCTGTTGATGGCAGATAGCATCAAAGTTCTTCGTAATGTACGAGCTCAGGTCTCGGAGAAAATCTTCCCAGTGGTACTTATCGGGCAAAGCTTTCATCGCTTCTTCGTTGTTGATATCGTTCAAAAGAATATCCCGACGTGAGCCAGCACGTTTCACGAAATCAGCCTCACTAGGTGCTAGCTGACGAGTTCCTGGCCGTCGGTCAAGTAACCGCTGCTCCAGATCATCTGGAAACAGGTCATACAGCAACTCGGTCCTTGTTCTCTCAGTGTTGTTCATGGAGGCTATGAACGCTTGGGTCTTGAGCTCCAGAAACAGAGCCCCTTGTACTTTCAACAGGCGGCCCCCTTCCGGGACGAAAACATCCAGAAAATGCTCATTCAGTTCAGCAAATCCGATTTCTTGTGTGCCAAAGATGCTTGAAACAAATGAGGCCAGGTTTGCTTTTCTGATGATGTCAACTTGCGAAGGTTCCGTGAGACCAAGTTCAGTCGGTGACAGGAAAGATTCCTTGGAGGAATACACTTTCTTTGTATGATCAAAGAGAGATCTCATGGTCGCATAAGCTTGTCCGTTTTCTGACTCCGGCTCAGCCACAAACGAGGTAATGTCCTGATAAGTGGATTTGGCCAGAAGAGAGAGAATTTGAGTAGACTGAACCGCACATGTGTCAGGGCTGACGTCTAGAAGGTCCACATAACAGGATAAGAAGCATTTCTTACCAGATTGTCCAATATAGGCAAGCTCTGGATCTTCAAGTGCGAGTTTGCCTTCACATAAACTAGACCCTTAGGCGCCGGCTGATCCGCAGGGGTAGCCGGTGTCGTTGTCGCAGTAGTTAATTGTTGCTGGCCCATAGCGCATTGTTCCTCGACCCGTTCTGCATGGTTCATGATACTGGAGATGACAGACGCCATATCATCAAGTTCCGGATTTGTCTCCGGCGCCGCGGGATCTCCCGCGGAGCTGACCGTCTGAGTCTGCCCGGCATTCTGGCGTTCCACAGTATCTACAATCCCAGAACCGAGAGCGGATACTAATTCTTCTTCGATTTGATGTCCAGGGGCTTGATCGGTCAATTCGGTCGTTTGAGTTGGTAGGAGAAGCCCTTCCGACTCGGGCTCGATGCGCCGCTTCTTCGAAGCTCGAGGGGAAAGGGAGCCATCCTCGTCCTCCTCGCGCGGGTGAGACGCCTTCAAGGAAGCTGCAAATGAATCAGAGTCAGAACCGAACTTCAAACCATAGACAGAATATAATCTTATTCAAATAAATGAAAGAGATGACAATGACCTCGTGCGCCATGTTGGACGGGTAAGATCAAGGTCCGCAATAAGCCACGAGGAACACTTACCATCGTCCTCGACCTTGAGGGCAGGAGACGCAGGAAGCTCAGAAGAGACGTGATCGTCAGACGAGGGACCTGAACCTCGCGTGTTTACCATATTGGACAAGGCAAGGTCCTAAGAAGATACTATCTTGACTTCCAAGAGCAGAAATAAGGGCTTAGGGGTAGGGCGCAGGTGTAGGGCTTGGGGAGAATGTGAGACGGACGGGACGGCGTGATAGATTTTTCGCCGGCAGCCGGAAGCGGTCAGGAGGGACGAATCAGACGGGCGTAAGCTGTGAATGCTTCCACTTTGGAGGTGTATTCAATCTGTTCTATTATTATTCGTTCGATAAGGTAGACTACTACTATTTCAATCGTCAAAGGCAAATTGATCTCAGTTACAAATCTAGATTCCTCCTCGCTTGACGAACAGGCGGCAAGAACAGACTGTGGAAATGCTGACTTGGAGTTCTGCCTTGATGCCTGAGGAACTAAACCAGCCAGTTCGGCAACCTCTTCGGAGAAGACAAACGAACCTAGCTCTCAGCTTTCATTGACATACGTTATACTACTCATTTGACTTCTTTACTAACTTGACTTGCAATTGACAACCAAATATGTCCGCTGCAAAATTTAGGCAACGGTACCAGAGTAGAACCTCATACGGTTACTTTGGCTCGAATGCTACCTACCATTACCAATGCTCGCGTCATTGACCCTGCAGTTGAAACAGACTGACGTGCTACTTTGGTCTACAAAATTTACAGAAAATCCAGTGTCTTATCTACAAAGCTGATTGAGTGGTATTCATTTCGGCTTTATCGAGGGCCAAAAGTGAGTTCAGTCGAGCATCAAATGCTAAAGAAGGCGTTTTTCTCTTGCGCTTCGATTTTGTAGACAAACGGGAAGGGTACACGGGTACGCGTCTTTGAGAATCATCTACGTACTAATGAACCAGTGGAATTATCTTGTGATGGGAACATACATACATCTACCTGAAGCCTTTTGACCATGGAACAGAGAAGGATGCCGGGTGGGACAACCACACATGTAACTTCTGCAAGCACTCTGTCTATATCGATACAACTCCAGTATTGATGCAATGATATTCATTTCGTCACATCCATACCAGCACTGTCGGATACCAACGGTTGTGATTGGGGTCTAGACGTCTTTGCGATGCTTTCCTTCGGTACCTTAAAATCGGACAGGATGCTTGCAATTCTCCCGTCAACTGTCTTATACGCTGAAGAAGCGACTATATTCTATTCTACTACCCCAAGCTTGACTGGATAAGATCATCTGGAACATCTCCTGTCAAGCTCATACTGCGCCGAGTCTCGCAATTTTGCCCCTACCATTCGATAAGCAATCGCTTCTCAGATCGTAATGATGATCTCGCGCGAACGCTTCCTGGCCCTGGCAGCAGCGGCAGCTTTGCAATTTCCTGCATTGGTTGCGGCCCAAGACCTCAAGGAGCAAGTCTGGTCGGTTTTCGCATATACCCTCCACGGGGATAGTATCCCGAATGCTCTGCCTCGCCCGAGAGCGTTGACTCCGTACGGAGCAAGTGAATTGTATGCCGCCGGGTCCGCATTTCGAGACCGCTATGTTGCCATACATAGCAACGGGAGTGACGTGGGAACAAGAATACCGAACCTGTCTCCGTACGCACTAGAAGCCGAGGATATCTCCGTTCTTTCAAGGCCCGATCAGCCAGCCGTGGCATCGGCCCAAGCCTTCTTTCAGGGCCTGTATCCGCCTCTCGGCCAGGTTTACGATGGGGAA